GAACCCGAAGATGGGAAGTGAGTCGGGATCTGGTTAGAAAGGCGGTTGGTTTTGTCATGTTCGAAGCAGTCAGATGTCTGAGTCTGGAAGAGGGAATCTTTTAACTGCAGATACTTTTCTGCAAAGGACCGTGCTGGAGCACAAAGACCTATTAGGCTTTTTGAGTAAGGTCCTCATTAGATGAAGAAGATGCAGGACGCATGCAGAGGACTGGAGAAGGGAGAGTTCAGGAGAGGAGTAAACACTGTGGATCCCAAAAAAGAAGTTTCCAAGCCCAGAGTTAAAAATAGCTAGTTTGATATACTGTAATAGAGACTGTGCTAAGGTGTTTTTCTTTTGTAATGAGATATTTTCCTGCAAGGGGTTACCATTTCCTGTTTAAATCGTTAGGCAGTTTCTTCTATTGTATTATCCTGCACACAATTAAATTCCATTTTTATAATTAGATCATAGTTCCTCACCACACATTCTCTTGGTTTTTGACAGGAAGTTTCAACAAATAAGGTAAAATACATGCATTTGGAAAACAAGTAGCTTATATTTTTGAAAAACAAATTTTCTTGATAATGACCATTTAGCTTCAGAAGAATCACACTTTATTAGCAAAGAGTAGCTATACAGTGGAGTATGTTAAGACATTTTTTGATATGTCAGTGTTGAGTATCATTTGATTCTGGGATAACGTAAGTAGATCAGTTTCCCCTCTTACACATACACACACACATTAGTGTGCGCTGACTAAGATGTAAACATGACTACTCTGAGATAAGCATTCCTTGACTGTGGGAGACTACTGAGAAAATGTAAGATTACTCTGATTTAGTCATTCTGTTCCTGAGATTCCGATTTATATTTCTCAATTCAACATAAAAGCAAAACATGAAAGAAGAGGCCTAGTTGTAATAGCACATATTCAATAAATTAGTATCTTGGTAGAATTACAAATAATTTATAATAGTGAATTATATAGGCTTCTACAACTATTCTAATCATGAAAATTGCTGATCCTTTTAGTAATTTATTTTCTATACGCTTATGTTTTGTCCTATTCACTTTTCTCCCATGAATATTATAAATATAAATTATTTTACTAATTTGTAAACATTTTAAAATAATTATTTTTTTTTACTTTTATTATTATTATTATTTAATTTGACCAGAGAGAGAGAGGGAAGGAACGTGAGAAAGAAAACCACCAGGTTGGGACTCAAACCATGGTTGGCCATGTGGGAGTCCATCACCTTAACTATTAGACCACCTGCTGGTCCCCGTTCATAAGCATTTTATACCAAAGAGAGAAAAGATCAAACTCTGACTCATAGTGAAATAAATGGTGTGCTTCTTTGGGTTATTGTGCTTTAGGTATTTTTTTACTAGACTGATTTTGAATTCATATAGAATTTACCTCTCCACCTTACTGTTCCTATGTCTAAATATTTTCCTTTGAAATGTCAAGGAATTTAGCTCTTTTTTCTTTTTTTGTAAGTTTTTTTTTTGCCATAGAGCATATATGCTCATGAAAGAGACACAGAAAGACACAAACAGAAAAAGTGAGGAATCATGCCCCAAGGGAGATGTCCAAGCCACAAGCCTTTCTCCTCCATTATTCTCCTGGGATTTAGGACACATAAGCACATGTGCCCAGCATAGTCTGAGACTTGAACCACGGTCAGCCATGTGGGAGTCCAGTGCCTTAACCACCACATCACCTGCTGGCCCTAGTCATTGACTTCTAAATTTTATGGCCAATGACATCAAAAGTAGCTCTAGAGTGAACTGTTACCTTTCAAATGGGATGGAATTTCGAATACATGGTGTATCTGAAAGGCAATTTCATTTACAGTTAATAAAACAAATACAGAATTCATACAATGTGTATATCACCTTAGTGTGTGCAATGTATAAACCTACGAGAACCCTGAAAGAAAATAAGGAAGTATGAATGTTGATGAAACAAAGATTTCTGTGATACAAAACTAGAGAAAACTCCCCAGAAACTTGTTCTTTACGTATTTGTTTTCCATCTCCTATTTGTTTTACATCTCCTTTGACTTATCTCTCTGAAACCCTGTGGTTAATACTGTTAAGCAAAATAATTCAGAGAGTTTCATATCCTCTGTCAATTACTGGAGTTTGTTGACTCATGAACCGTTAGAGCACCCCAGACATGTATTTTAGGGTGGGCATGATCGCAATGTGAAAATGTGAAGACCCTTCCAAGTCCTGGAATTACAAATAGAAAAGTTTTAAGTGATTTGGAAAACAAGGTTCCTGAATACAATGAGAATCATGTGGGTAATTTTCATATAAACAGGCTTATTAGTTAAGCATTTTTTAAAACTAAGAATTTATTTATTTATTTATTTAATTTTTTTTTTTTTGTAGAGGTTTTGCTATAGGGTGCCTGCGCTCGCCAGAAAGACAGAGAGAGACAGAGAGACAGAAAGTGCTAAATCACCCCCCAGGGGGGATGGCCATACTGCAATCCCTTCTCTTCCATTCTCCTCTTGTGATCTTGGGCATGCACGCACATGTGTCTGGCATGAGTTTAAAGCCACTGGGTCTGGGACTCGAATTGTGGTCAACCACATGGTAGTCTTGAGACACAACCATTAAGCCAACTCCGTTCTCCTATTTCTTTATTTTTATTTTGTTATTTTGTATGTGTATTTGTGTGTGTGAAGAATAGAACAATTTTCAAAAGCACTTAAAGATGAAGGAGTCTGAATTTTTAAAGGTACTTTAAAATATGAGTATTAGATATAAAATAGAGATTTGCTCTGTAAGTGTTATTTTGTTATCAACATATATATATATGCAGAAGGTATATACCATTACAGAAGGGGGTCTTTCAAAAATTTATGAAAAATGCGCATCATAAGAAAGCGCTCGTGGATTTCAAAAGATTTTTGCACGAAAATAAACTCAAATTTTAAGCCCATTTTCCACAGACTTTGAAGTCACCTTATATTTAGGTATATCTATAATACTCTCTCTATATGTATGTATGCACTATATTCAAACCACTTTTTAAATTCCAAGACTGAAACTCAGTAACCAGGAGGAAGATTTATATTGCTGTATTTGAGAGCTTCAGGGAAAACCCATGAGTTTATTTCATAGGTTATATTTATTACATATTTCTGGATTTCTGGTTGTACAACAGTGCCTTTTTACTTTCAAGACCCAATTTTCTAGTAAGTGGTAGAAAGTACACACACAACATCAGAAATTCCTTTATTTCTCTGACCTTTAAAAAAGAAAAAAAATAAAGAGGAACACTGATTAATATGCAAAAACATATACTGAATTAATCTGCATAAAGCTATTCTGATTTAAGTCTAGTGACTGGAAATTACTGCACTGAGAGGTTTCTTATGTACATCAAAATAATTATTTGTGGATCTTATGTAAAAGGCAAAAATAATGAAGTTTTAGACAGTGAGCATGACTAGATGGATACTGTCTGAGTTTGCTAAGAAAGGTTATTGAATCAGTATCCCATACATCTTTAAAAAGTTGATCGGTTATCACCTTGAAATAACTTAGATGTAGTTCGGTTTGTCAGTAACAGTTTAGATTAGCTCTCTCCATGGGATTGATCATAGTCAATCAGCAAACTCTGGTTGCTAATGTGCTTGAAAATACAGTCACAGCCTCAGGCCACAACTTCCAAATGATGGCTATAGACAACTGGTAATGCCAGCTCGATACACCAGTACTAAATAAGCTAATAAGGAAAAGGACTTGGGGCTTGACCCCTGAAATTGCATAGAGGAAACAAGATATTGATAAGTTATCTTGCCTGTTTCAAAAGCCGGTATGCCATCACCT